CACTCAGTCACCGCTCCCGGAGACACCCACCAGCCCCCCGGCCCTGCCCCGCAGCCCCCCGCCAGCTGCGGGCACCTCCTGCCCTGCCCTGCCCTGCCCGGGGGAACCGCATCCATCCATCCCGCAGGCAGCGCCGAGGGGCTCCAGCCTCCTCCCGGGAGCATCCTTCGCTGCTCAGCGGGCTGCAAGCAGGGAGAGGGGGTTTTCCTCACACAACCGCTGCCTAGAAAGACTTTTTCTGCCCTTCCCCAGGTGGAATGCTATTTTGGCTCTGAATTTTGGGGTTTGCCTGTTGGTTTTCAGCCACGGTTTCACACGGTGGGAGGCTGTGGGCAGTGGAAAGCCGACAGCGTGGCCAGAACCAACAGTTGTTTTGAATCAGCGTCTGGGTTAGGCTGGGGATTGTTTTTCTCTGTCTAGGAGAGCGTGTGTGTGTGTGCATGAGTGTGTGTGCACACGTGTGTGTGTGCATGTGCTTCCCCCACCAAAATAAACCCAGAAGCGAAGCTGAGCCAGCCTCTACCAAGGAGCTTCCAGGCTGAACCGAAACCTGCATTTCAGACTTTCCATCAAGAAAGCCAAACCCTCTCTATTTCTTTTTCTTTCTTCCTCCCTTCGATTGGTCTTCTTAAGCAAATAGTTCAATTCTGAGCAAAAGGGACTTTTTCAAGCAAAAACCTCCTCTGCAGAAGCCCAGAGCTGGAAAGCATCCCATCCCCAGGAGATGTGCATCAGGGACAGCCTCTGATCTCTGCACTCCCAGCTCTCCCCTGGATCCTCATTTTCCCAACCCCCTGCAATAGCTGAAATGCTTTAACCCCCAGCCAAGGGGGTTTAACCACGTGCCAAGGGGGTTTAGGCAATTCAGGGAGTTCCCAGCTTGGGAAAAACTAATGGAATGGTTTAGATTGAAAAGGACCTTAAAGCTCATCTCACTCCACCTCTCTGCCATGGGCAGGGACACCTTGCACTGGACCAAGAGCTCGACCATGAGGGCTGAGGAGAGGAGAGGAGGATGGGTGGTCCCAGCACCACAATGGAGGTTAAAAACCATCCACCATCCCCACTTGAGCTCATCATCCCGGTTATTTTTAACCAGCACAGCCTCCAGAAGGTAGGGAGAACAACAGATGAAAAGATCAAACTTATTTATACTTTAAATCAGAAACAAGCTGTCCAAAATACCCAGATCTGGGGAGGGAACAACAATAAATATTGGTGCAAGAGCCGGCTCCAGACTGAACAGCAGATGAAGAGTGAGGATGGAGCCCGGCTGAGCTGAGCCCACCGAACTCTTTGCTGACAGGGGAAACACCCTCTGCCACCAGCAAGCCAGGAGGGTTCCTGAGGGAATCAGCCCCAGCCAGGTGTACATGGAGAGGTGGATGCTCACCCATGCCCCCACACAAGGAGAGTTGTCTCCAGGCCATGTCACCCCACCCCAGACTTGGGCTCAAGTCCTTTGCTGCCACCTCCATCCTTGGCTTTAAGCCCCATTTTTGACACCTGTTTTTCTTGAGGGTGTGGATCTCCTGGAAGTTGCTCCCCCGCCGTTCCTGCAGCAGTTCGTGGTGCTAACCAGCAACTTGCTCCCAGTGAGAGCATCCACTCCTCCCTTCCAACCCACAGAATCTCCCAGCCATCCCCAAACCCAGACAAGGCAGGAAGCAAAGCCCTGGAGCACCATTAACCCTTGAGCTCCCCTTATTGTTTGTAGTTTGGGAAAAATTCCTGTATGCAACAGTTCACATCCAAATCTGAGGCTTTATTTTCATGAGAAAGAAATAAACATCATCTCTTCACCACATATATGTGTGTGTAGCAGCTAAAAACTTGTCTGGCTCATCCCTTTTCCCTGCTAGGATTTCTGCCAATAAATCAGAGTCGTCTGGTCTCAAGCAAACAAATGAGGCTGCCTCAAACCATAAACATTTATTGAGGACACAAGGCTCGAGGCACAAGGTGTAACTTCCATAATTGCAATAATTTACTCTGCATCTGTCAGGGGCAAACCCATCAGGAATTACCGAGAGAGCCACAGACCTTTGGGATACTGCTTGGGAAAGCCTTTCCTTTAAGAGCAGCAGGATGAAGCCCTTACCCCATGGCTGCAGCACAGCAGCAGACATTAACCCTTGAGCTCCTTGGTCGGGCTTCGCGCTGGGATTTCTCCAGGAGCTGCCGGCCCCAGCACCTCGCCCTGTTTACTCCTCCGCTGCCTCCCTGGAATCCTATCAAAGCCAATTAGGCTGTGCCAGGCGAGCAGCAGCGCTGCAAGCGGAGAGCAGCCGAGGGGCAGATCCTGCCCAGCCCTTCCCCTCAGCTCCTGCCTTCCCCTGGGTCTCCAGACGAGCTTTGGATGCAGCAACAGCATCACCTCCCCTGTGAGCCCCCAGCAGCCTCACACGGCTTCCCTGGAGGGGTTTGCATCCAGGAGCTGCAGCAAGCCCAGCATTTGTCAGGCAGAAACAGAGGTGGTCCAGGTCAGGCTTCAAAACCTGGAGGTCTGAGCACAAGGGAAGGGGGATAAAAGCCCAGGGGAAGGGAGATCTCCCTGGTGTCCAACCTGACCAAAGCTTTCCTGTAAGCTGGGAACTCAGTGCAGCACCAAACCGTCTCCTCTAGGCTGTGGTTTGCTGTCTAATGTGAGATGTCCCCTCTGCAAATTTCCTTCTGCTTTTTCATCCATCTCTTCTGCTGCATCTGGTCTCAACAAATTGAATTTTGTTCCTAACGGCCATTTAAGAAATCCCCCTGTGCAATGATCCACACACAGGCTGCCCTGGAAGAGAGCATGCAGTTTCTATGAGGAAGCAAAGCAAGCATTGCTCTTTTTCTCCCTTAATGGCCTTCTCAGGGCAGATTTCCAAGCAGAGGGGATGAACAACTTCCCTCTTTCCACAGCCAGGCCCAGACCACGAGGAGAATTCCCCCCAGCA